ATAATGTTTGTCATTCCTATTTCACTCTGCATCCTTTGAAGTTTGGGGAAAAATCTTTTTTTTTTGCCTCGCCTAAAATTTTCAATTTCTAAAAGGCCCTAAAAAAGGCTTACTTCATAGTAAGTTCACAATATTCAAACCCTATGGTCATTGTGTTGTTGACAACAACTGTCTAAAGTTTCAGACTTCTAAGTTTTATAGTTTTTATGCAGTTTCTCCTTTTCATCAAGTAGTGCACATTTGGCACAATAATTGTGCCAAATGGCTTTAATGACTTTCTATCCTCATAAAAGCCATATTTTTTATTCTGATATTTATAAGTTACTAATCTATGTGATTTTTGTAAACATTTTTTCAAAGTGTAAAATCATTGCTGCTTCGTCAGCGCCTGTCTCCAGGCCATTACGCAGCCTTCTACTGAGACAACCTAACCAGTATACATATGTCCCACCCCTTAATAGAAAGCTTTCCTCATTGGCTACACGGACATGTCAATCTTTCGGCCAGGAAGTAGATGAAAATCAGTCTAATGACAACAAATGTGAAGTTACAGATAAATGCACATTTTTGGATTATTTCTGCAGAATGGATTATACTTTGGGAAATACAAGTGGATATTCTTTTTCCTTGGACTATTAGGGAGTGAAAGAGCCATAGGAAGCCGGGAGGAGCGCTGATTTATTTATGTATGTGCCGGTATGTGAACTCTCTCTAGGCAAAAAATAGGGGATGAGGTAAAGCTCTTGTTTTAATAGAAAATCAATAGTACCAAACAAAGCGGGTATTTGTGTTGAAGTCATGCTGTGGATAAGAGGGATAGCGTGTCGTGCCAAACTACAGGGTCACCTTGGTGAAATAAGGGCAAGAGTGACCTTCGGTGTGCGCAGAGAGTAGAGAATGCACTTGGGCAGTTACTTTGTCCAAAGAGGATGATATCACTCTGTCTGAGCTCCAGTTCACAAATGACCTGCCACTTTAATACAGTAAAAAGTATAGTGGGTACACTAATGAAATCATAGATGTTATCACTCAACAATACATGTTATAATACCATGATGCGTGCACTGTGATATCAACAGTGGTAGCCGGTATATAACAAATGGGCCCATAAAGACCGTAAAAGGCTACAATAAACTCATATCCTTAAATATCACCGATAAAAGACAAGTTGGCTTGAATCACACCAAGCATTTAGTTCAAACAATCGCCAACAGAGCATATCGTTGGGGTCTATCACATAAGATTAAGTACTGGAGAATGGATGTTTTAGTGCGATACATAAAGGAAACTGATAAGAGAAGGTATAAACTCAATATGGTGCGGACCTTTTGAGTTTTACCTTAGAGTCTAATTCATCATCTGCTAATATATTCTGCATGGGTATATGATCCAGACAGGGATTGAGGTTGAGTGCCGAGATAAACAACTATTCCAGAAAGATTTAAGAAAGGTCATATAAATAGATAATTACGTTGATGTACCTTAAATCAGGGGTGTAAAGCAAAAAAAAAAAGAATTGCTAGAAACTATTTTGCATGGAAATTAAAACAGTAAATCACCGTAATAAAGGGGGCAGGACAGTATAAATTTTAATACTCTAAATTAAATGAATAATAGTGTATAAATACTCCAGGTCAAATAATTAATCAAATATAAAACTTAACTAAATCTTTCGAGATGTTGGTTGCGCGAGCTTATCTTTTGAAGAATATACAATTGAGCTTATATAAATACTACAACATATCCCAAATAAAATGTAAATCCAACTAACAATGGTTGCAAAAAAATTGAAATACAATAGATAAATACAATCAAACATTTAAGACAAATCAAATAATTATGGTTAACTGATTTAGAGAAACGATCCAGAAACCTTTAAGAGCAAAAATTAATAAGTCTCAAAAAAATAAAAACGTGTCTAACTTCACATTAATTCACCATCACCTCGAGTCAAAAAACCGAGTGTGGCGCAGTCGAGAGTAGCCGCTAATAAAACATCAAACGAAACATGAATTGGGATACCTCAACGCTAACCATGCGACATATCTAGGATAAAACAACAAACAACAACTATGATGCCGGCAAGGTTAAGTGCACGTGCTGTATGTCAATGGAGGCAGATCTCGCTGTACAAGCTTCAAATAAGTACATTAACTGCATGCATCATATAAGGAATTATAATTAAAAGATCATAGAACCACGTAACCAGTATACATCAGTTTATTTCAAAGGAAATAAAAATTTTATGGTTTTATTTAAATAAAAACTCATTAGTTACAAGACTTCATTACTGTATTAAAGTGGCATTTATAAGAGAACTGGAGCAAGACGAGTTATAATTCACACATTGGAAAAGTAACAATAAAGAGAATAACTAGCGCATACGACATATGCTAAAGACACCACTTAGCTGACGAAGTAGCACGTCTCTTTATCACAGATGAATCCAACAAATAGCTAAGAATGGTATCTATAAATTACTACAAACAATGAGTATACTTCCTAAATTATTGCACGCTCTAGATCTGTACATACATAAAAACAACCCGCTGACTGGCTTCTCAGTAAAAACACACAAAGAAATCCAAAGTCCAATCCTTGTAATACAGATCAATACAGCTACACACACACATGTTCAAAAAACAGAAATAAATAATTATAAATAGCTGATAATCATTATTAGGCGCAGAAGAATGTGAGTATCCCATGAGGAAGATTTCAAAAACGGAGGTGGGACAGTAAGTATCGGTACGGATTTTAATCAGTAGAATTAGCGTCCATTAGGAGACAGGCGTAGCGAGCCATATAAACAAAGCCCCAGAACAACAAATCACATCGCAAAGTTCCAAAAAAAATCACAGATACAACAAATTATAAATGCTGAACGCCAGAAATAAAGCATTAGGCACAATATAGAGAAAAGATCACAACTTGATGAAAAGGAGACAAAAAAAAGCATAAAACCTATAACCCTTAGAAGTTTAAATATCGACAGTAGTTGTCAACAACACAAAGACCAAAGGGATTGAATATTGTGAACTTATAGAAGTAAGCCTTTTTTAGGGCCATTCTAGAAATTGAAACCTTTTTAGGCAGGCAAAAAAAAAAGATATTACCAAACTACAAGGATGCAGAGTGCATAGGCTGACAAACATTATTAAAGTGTATATTTACAATACACAAGAGGCTCTAGTTTATAAGATGCCATCATACAAGAGTGAAGTAAGATGAGATATAAATTGACTAACATTAGAAAGCCAAACTGCGGGGTGATACGGAGGTTAAAAGAAATACAAGAGGAGGTGACAAAGCAATGTTACGCAAGTCAACGTCAGTACTAATCAATGCCCTCCAAGTCCGAGTCACGTCAGGAGTCATGCACATGCAAGTCCCCGCGTCGAGTCCAAGTCAAAAGGCCAACAAAAATACAAGACAGTCAGTCCAAGGATTGACTTTCTGAGTTCTCGCGTCTTTTTTGACGCGCATTGTTTCTTGTAGGTCTTCCAGTATTAGGAAAGATAATGTGGAGAATTCGTTGGTCATAGACCCATGGCTAACAGTTTTGTATGTGGATGGCTGTAGTAAATCCAAAACTATTAGTGCCAGAAGCAGGTTCCGTTACACATGGCCAGACCCATCAAAGCGTAGTCCGTGTAAAACATATTTTATTAAGGGGTTTTTAATGAGAAGCAAGTGAGATAATAAGAATATGAGTATTGGTTAGGACTTTAACTATATAATCAGATATAATGTCATAGAGGATATTGTTCAAAGGACCTGAAGGGCAATGGAGGGGAGAAAAGGCTGTATGAAAGGGCTAGATTAGTCCTCAACTACAATTCCAATAATATTAATAATAAAATGGTACACCCTATCCTACAGTCGACCCCTAAAGATTACAAAACCATCAACAAATTTAAATGGAATATTATCTAGCTTAGTGCAAAATCAAAACACCTATCTATGTATGCAAACTTTAGCAGGAGGAGACAGCCAAAACATATATCATAATAATGGCTGCGGGGCCACACAGAAATATTAAGAAAGAGCTAAAGGAAGCAGCGGAGGCTAGGCTAGTTTGATAGCATTCCTCTTTAACAACACGGACCGTTGTGACAAACTGGTCGATTCACTTGTTATGAGGGCGTGTAGTGAAAAGTTTCAATAACGGGTTTGTAGAACAAAATAAGATGTTCTGTTATGGTCGCGTAAAATGCCGAGCTGTATTTCAGTCCTAGAACAACACACACGGTGAATTGCCAGTCCATGTTTAGGGAGTGTTTGCTGCGGAAGCGGTTGGAACTAGTTCGACTTCGGCGAGGCTGTACAACAGCGAGGTTTGTTTCATCAGAGAGGCATAGATGAAGAAAGGAAGGGCGGAAGGAAAAAATGGCCGGGTAACGGCAAGTCAATACAATGTCAAATGGCGCTATAGTCAAGTGAAAGTCGAGTATTGATGTTAAAAGACAAGTCGACGATGCAGTCTTTTTATATCATGGTCAAGTCGAGTCTAAAGAGCATTCAAGAAATATGATCGGAGTTTACTCGGTCCAAGTCACATGACTCGGTCCACTTGATAACCCATTTTTAGGTCTCATAGAGCTTATACAACAATAACTTTTTTATATGCACAGTGCAAAAAAATGCTACTCAAGTGCCTTTACATTGGCAACATTTACAACAA